TGGGGTTTTTCTTCTTCCATTCATTCATGTCTGATTCTCAGAGACACCACAAACACTGTATATCTTCTGTACTTTTTGCTGCAAGGAGGTAAGTCAATAACCATAAATGCCTATAGAATGTTACATTATTAGACTTATTTTGTAAAGACTGCTTTATTATTGTTCTAGACAACTTAACAAAATGAAGAAGCTTTTAAAATAAATGCTTGATCTGAAGAGGCCCAGTGCTATTGTATCTTCTTTTGAATAGCAGAGAACAATGTATACTTCCAGAAAACCACATCAATTTTAATAGCCTCTGTACAAGTATGTCTGAAATGTAACACCACAAACACTGTATATCTTCTGTACTTTTTGCTGCAAGGAGGAAAATTGCTGGAAAGCAGAGGAAGATTCCCCCCCCCTTGTTTTCCTCCCCAAAAAGTAGGTGTGTCTTCTACTTCGGAGTGTCTTATACTCCGAAAAATATAGTAGCTAGCTTTTTGGCTGCTCACAAGCATGATGACAATTGGCTGGCACAACTGGTTGTTATTAGCGTACCTGGCTGGTCTCGATTTTCCTGCGAAAGTTTGATTTTAAAAAATGTGATTGCCCTATTTAAATAGCTTGCAGTATGTATGTGTACACACACACACACACACACACTATTCAAAAACATTATTCTCAATTGGCTCACACAATTTTTGAAAATTTGACAATTGGCTGTTATGAACCAACACGACCTCATTCCATCATTGCATTTTGGTACAAGCAAGTTTGATCTTCCATGTGAACGTTGGTTAGATGATGAGAGAGCACAAGACGGGAGGGAAAGGGGAAGGGAGGTTAAGTAGACAGACCTAACATATCAATCCACTAAATAATTAAGTTCCTTTCATTAAAATGTATGGAGTTATGAAGCATAATCTATCCCACTGGCCCAGTATAGGGTGGTAAACGTTTTTCTCAGTCTAAGGCTGAGATAAGTTATTGGCATCAAACTAGCTTCTGTGCCTTAGTTCTTAGTCTCTCAATCAAATGGCTTAGTCACTACACTACAATAACTCTCACAATTTCCTTGGTATTATTTGTAGAGGAGAGATCATTTTAATGAGTTTCAGACCATGAAATTGAATGGTATATTAACTTATGGTGTATTAACTATCAGACATTCTTCCAGCTATCAAAAAAAAAATGCTTGATTTGAACATATGACACAAATGTTTCCACTCACCCTGAAACTGGTTAAAAGTATTAACAAATTTTAATACTGTTAGCAAATTATTAAATTTGAAAAAAATATAATTCTTGAATATCAGTGAAGTTTCCACTTATTAAAAGCCCTCATTAAAATCTACATAAATAAAAGGGGAAAAGTCTGAATGCATTAGATGAAACTTATATGAAGTCAAGAATGGGTTAAAACATGTCAATTGTTAATACCTGTGATATTCCTTAGCAATCACTGTAAATTGCATACATTTCAAGAGACTTGGATACCTGAAAGTATATACAAACATCGAGTATGTATAGATGAATCTCCTTGCTAGTTCTTTCTCTTGGTTCCAAGGAAGCAAACAAGATTTGGATGCCAAGGAGTGGTGCTAAAATGAAGGTGGCCCTCACAGCTTTTAGGTATTGAATAGATTTTCTAAGAAGTCTGGTTTTTGATTTCTTTATGAGGACATGAATGATTCTTATCAGGATCAATAAATTCACCTATAGGGAAAAAATAGAGACTGTTAATTTTATGCCAACTTCATCTATATTTGAAAAAGAAATCTCATGCAATTTGATAATAAAAAGATAAACAGAGACTTGTTTGCATTAATGGATCTTTGACTAAATGGCTATAATGAATTACTGGTGCAACACTATGCTACCACCATTAAAGTAACTTTTTCTTCTTGCTTAGCCTTTTTCTGTTTCATTATATGATTTGAGCATAATAAACACTTCAGGATTAATTTTTTAAAAAAGTAAACATTTAGAAAAGTGATATTGACTATACAAAATATTCAGAAAGAGGTGGAAAAAGAGAAACTATCATCTAAATAATATTTAATACCCAATAAGTAATATCCAAATATAGGATGTTGCACAAAACCAACCAATAATTCACAAAACCTATAATCAAAATTTCATATTTGAAGAACAGTAAAGCAATCTTTAGGTCTTTTACATAGGATTTAAGATAACTTACTTAGCCTATCCAGCTTATTGTTTAATTTGCAGTATCATGGATATCTTTCATTAATTACAACTAGTTTTATTTCTACTTTCTTCTTAATAAAGAATAACCCTCAGGGCTTGCATTTTAGATCAACCTCAAATGGTGGCTTGAATGTTTTTTTTAATACAAGTAAAGAAATTAATAATAAAACAATTGTGTAATCTACTGACCCTTTTCTTAGTTCTAAATCATTGTTTACATAAAATATTTATTCTTGATATCTCATGATAGCGAGTTTGGCCTAATGATTAAAGCACCAGAATATAAACTATATTCTATATGAGTCCTAGTGTCACCTAAGGCATAAAAGCCAGCTGGGTAACTTTGACCCAGTCACTCTCTCTCAACCCAACTCCCCTCAGAGGGTGGTGGTTGTGTAGAAAATAGAAGAGGAAGGATTAGTTACATTCATTACCTTGAGTTATTTATAAAAAAATAATAAAGGTGGGATAAAAACAAACAAATACACAATAATTTTACATTACAAGTCAAATATAGTCATATTATGATGAATGATATTTATATTGGCCAATAGCTGTGATCCTGTTTTAGTGATGCCAGGCACACAGGAATTGATTTACATATGTGTTTTAAAAGAGAAGTTTTGTTCTGGTCCCTCTAACTTTATGAGGTGTATGGCAGAAGAAAAAAGGGTTAAGATTGATTTTTAACTACTACGTTTTATTTTCTCACTGCTATAGGATTGATGTAATGGACGTGCCAGTGTCCAATATCCTGTACCAACTCTACATTCAGATGTATTTCCATATTACTTAATTTTATAATTCACTGAATTTATTGCCTTAATACCTAACTGCAGTGAATCAGCCTCTTTGTATGTGGATTAATAAGTTGGCATAACAATAAGAAAATATATTAGATGTATAAATCATTGTGATATGTTCTTACCGAGAGAACAGTGAAGATGGACCCAGTGATGATATAATCTAAAAGAGTATCTGTTCTGTACCAGCAGCTGGAAAAAAAAGAACAAGAATATTCTTGCCACAATACTGGTTATATTTGGGTTAAGACCATTCATTCAGAGATTTTCAAAGTTATGACAGCACTGAATGAGAGGAAGTTATGAGCAGACCTCAAAGTTTTGCAGTGTCCCCACAGCTATGTGATCATATTTTAGTTCCTTGGCCACCAGTTTGCAATTATGAGGGTGGCAGCATCTAGAAATCGTGAGATAGTCGTTATCACCTTCCCTACCTTCCTGGGGACTTCCAGAGAAGAAATAACAAACTGAAGACAAACATGGTATAATAAAGTGCCCCAAAAGCCACATGATGTAATCGAGCTTTATCACTTAGTGACAAGAATTCCACTCCCAACTGCCATTGTAATCCAAGGATTACCTGCGTCTCCTTTAAACAAATCCCTGAGAAATCTGCAAGGTGATTTTAGTTTTGACTTACTAATCATTGAAATACATGCTTCTGGCTACAGCATATGTAGAGGCAGGAATTAAAGGGGCTCCTGTGAATAACAAATAGGTTTTTTTAATGGAATTTTATGTATTTAGCTTCAATATTGCTTTCAAATATTAGTAACCTAAATGAATATCGAGGAGAAAATCTGTGTGGTTACCAAGAGTCAACACTAATTTGATGGGACATAATCAATCAATAAAAAAATCTTAGAGAGAAAATTTCTGCAAGGTTAGTTAAACAAAGTAAGCATCTAAAACTGTTCAAAAATAAGTATAATTCATAGTCCATGTTAAAGATATCACAAGAGTCTGTATATGTAACTCAACATGTCAAGCAAGAGGAATGAGACCCCAGAATTCTATAGAATCTTATCAATCACAATAATGGGAGGAGTTAGGTTTGGGGAGGGGACTTAGGAAATTCGAAGACTTAATGCAGCATGTTACTTTTCCCATGATGACAATGTATCGTGCCACAGTGTGTGTTCTTGCAATGTAGAAAGAAGAGGAAGTGAAAGGAAAACAACATACCCCAGCCGAGGAAATAATACCACCGCAAGGCCTGTCTTTTGGCAAATATATTTAGCACAGTGATAATGTAGAGGTAAATGCCTTCACACATCATCCAGAAGAAGTTGCAAAGAAAAAAATAGAGATGGGAAATCAGAAGCACTTTACATACCTGTGGACAGGCAGAAGCACCAACTTAGTACAGCATAGATTTCATGCAGGTTGTTTTATAATACAGATAATTTCCACCTGATTTAGCAAACAAGCAGATGTGAAGAGGAAGATTAAACTTCCCAGGCTGTTCTCTGATTGAAAGGGCCCTTGTCACTCCTAGCTTTGAATCAGTATTCCCAATTCATCAGCTGAAGCTGATGAATTTGAAAAAGTAAAAACAATATCATGCCTACTTACTGGAGGAGTTATAATCAGTGGCTGCTGCTGGGCAATTCCTGCCAGATGAGTAAGTGCTGTAGCATAGCTGCAAATAAAACTAAAAAAAAAGATTCTTATGCAAACTGATCCTTGTGCAACTCAAACTCCTATAAAGAAACACAGGAGAGAAAAGTATTGTTTATCTCTTTTGCATGCAGAATGATTTTACATCAAATGCCACAGCCAACTTGCTGGGGACAGCTCACCATGGCCAACTCGCAATAGCCAACTCATCACGGCCAACTTGCTGTGGGACAACTTGCTATGGCCAACATGCCATGGGAAAACTCACATGGGACAATTTACCAATTCTATTTAATTATTTAAAATAAATAAAAATTATTTTAATTTTTCCCATTCACATTTCATTCTGTTCTTCCTTTTCCATCCTTTCTTTAATTATTCCATTCCATCAGTTATTTGATATTAGTGTAACTCTTGTCCTGCAGCAAGTTGGCCATGGAAAGTTGGCTGCGGCAAGTTAGCCATGATGAGTTGGCCATGGCGAATTGTCATGGACCCGACAAATAGGTGGTCCCTCAAACAATGTGGCTCATACCTTGAAAGGCTTTATTGTTCTGACCCAGTCCTCACAGGTAGTGATAAAATGTTTACTCATGAGTAAAACAAACCCCTTTTAATAACAGGGCAGTAGCAATCTTTTATTCACACGGATAAACAAAAAATCAAATGTAAACCTGGATTTAGTCAAGAAATCTGAATTGCTTGCTTTATACTAGAAACAAACAGTTGTCTGAGACAACTGGCCATTTCCAAACCCCTCCTATTTATTTCCTAACAGGGAAGGGCTGGCTATTGTCTGTGCCTCTCTCTGAGAGATGGCTTATTGTTTTCTTTTATTATTATTTATTAATTAATTAATTAGACTTATATACCGCTTCATAGGGCTTTCAGCCCTCTCTAAGCAGTTTACAATTTTTTTAGCAAATTGAGTCATCAACTTGTCCCCACAGTCCGGGTCCTCATTTCACCCACCTCGGAAGGATGGAAGGCTGAGTCGACCTTGAGCCGGTGAGATTTGAACCACTGAACTGCAGATCATAATCAGCTAAAGTGCTCCCCTCTCTTCCCCTCTCTGCACATCTGTTGCTCTCCCTCACTCAGCTCAGGTCCCGAAGACAGCTGTCTCTCCACTTACAGGCAGACAGAAGGCCCTGCCTCTGTCTCTGATACTGTTTCCTTATCACATCCTTCCAAAGACTCCAGAGCTGCCTTATCACCCCAGCATCTACAGAGTATCCCCCTTAATCTGTTGGCCCCTTCAGGATCAACAGCGCTCAGAAATGAGCCCAAACAAAGAAGTTAGAGTTAGAGGTTAGGAGAGTTCCCTTTCCTCTGCTCTAAGCACGATGACATCACCACAGGAAGTTCTCTCTCCCACCACCTCCTCATCTGATTCTGCAGCTAGCTCTGCTGGCAGCAATGGGCCACAACACTTATAGACGATAGCATGTTTTTCTTCATTTGGGGTGTGAGACAGAGATATATCTTTGTATTGCATACAAATTTGCAAATGGGTAAATCGCTGCTGAAAATTAAAACAATACTTACTTAAAGCAGAAGAATATGCCAAGGGAAATCAACAGTGAAACTAAGGAAAGGCTAAGGCCAGTAATAGCAATGTAGTAGGCATTCCAAACTGACTGGAATAAAACAGAAACAAAGGTGGAATCTGAATGTAGAACGTTGTTGTCATGCACAATAGTTCCCGCTGCAAGTGTTCCATGAAATATAAAAGCTGAAAGTAATACATAGATTTGCCACTAATAATTATCACAATAAGTATATCATCATGATCTAGGGTCCAAGGTTATTACTCACAATATTTATGTGATGTTTGTTTGTTCAATTTCTATGGCCGCCCATCTCAATCAATGACTCTGGATAGCTCACAATTAAAAAAAAATGTAATGCAGTTGAAAATATTAAAAACATTTTAAAACAGTGAAACCAACAAAAACACTAAAAACACTTCCAAATTAAGTATACACAGGAGCAAGATACTTCGCTCTTGACCAAGAAGACAAAAAAGCAAGAAGAGAAACTGGAATTAGCAACTAGAATGCAAATAACTAAGAAAGTGAAATACTTGGGGATCTGGGCGACTACAAAATGTTCCACAATTAAGGACGATAATTATAATAAACTAGTGACACAAATAAAGAAAGATTTAGAAAGCTGGAAAAATATTCAGCTATCACTAATGGGATGTATAGCCACAGTCAAAATGAATCCAAGAATCTTATTCTTGTTGCAAGCCGCACCTATTAATCCGGGTAAAACTTTCTTTCAAGAATTAAAAAAAAAACTGCTAGGTTCATTTGGCAAGGACAAAAAGCGAGGATTAAACTAAAGTCAATGCAAGATAGCAAGGAGAGGGGAGGTTTAGCATTACCAAATTGGGAATTATACACATTAGCAGTAACAATAACATGGGTGAAAGATTGGATAGAGTTAAAGAATAAAAGAATGTTGACACTATGAAAGCATACACAAGAGGTCTCATGATTGCCTACATGGTGAGAAAAACTAGAAAACAAAAAGATCAACAAGAATGTATGCAAAAAGAACTTATGGAAGCCGAAGATGAACTACAGAAAGACACAAAGAATAAAATTTAAAAAGAAAAAAAAAGAGATGATAAAACATAAGATCAACTTAATAACTCAAAAGGAATTAGCACAGAAAATTAAAGTGGTCAGACAAAATTACTTTGAACAAGCCAACAAACCTCGACAGTGGCTGGCATACAGATTGAAGAATGAAAGAGAAAAAAGGATGATATACTAATCAAAAGATGATGAGGGAAGAATTTAATACAAAGCGGAAGGAAAGGCCAGTTCTATTTCTACTTCTCTTACCTTCTCATACCACTTAATATTAGTGCAGAGGGTATAATTTGTCCATTGTCTGTTGCTCTCAGGATGTACAAACCAATGTCCTTTTTCATCACAGATTTTAATTGCTTCTTCTTGTTGAGAAAAATAAAATAAAATCACCACCAGCATTATTTAAAAACCAATACAAAAAACATACGTTTCTGGCACAGAATAATATTTTTAAGTATTGTTCAAGCACAATTAAGTAGTAAAAAGCACATCCTTTAGGTTCTTGGGATTTTTCTGATTCTTAAAGTTCCCCAACTTTTAATTAAAGGTTATGAGAAATTATTTCTGTATTTCCCAATACAGATTACATCAGAATTCATCTGAACTCTCTCTATTTCAAAATGACTTTTTGTTGTCGAGCAGAGGGAAGAGAAAGGGTAATTTGACTCTGATCACGTACATGTTGATATGAGCATTTGAGTCATATAGATGTGGATATGCACATTTGAGCCAACAATGGGGATTGGGATTGAGCCTGCACTATGGCGAGCATCAGCAAATGAGCTACATTCATAATAGAACAAACAGAGTTGGAAGACATCTTGGAGGTCTTCTAATCCAACCATCTGCTCAAGCAGGAGACCCTATGTGATTTCAGACAAGTGGCTGCCCAATCTCTTCTTTAAAACCTACAGTGATCCTCAACAATAAATTCACTGATTTATTCTGTCAGGAAATTTCTCCTTATTTCTAGGTTGGTTCTCTCCTTGATTAGTTTCCATCAAATGCTTCTTGTTCTGCCTTCAGGTCCTTTGGAAAAATAAATTGACCTCTTTTTTATGGCAGCTCTTAGATATTGGAGCACTGCTATCATGCCACCTCTAGTCCTTCTTTTCATTAGACTAGACAAACCCAACTCCTACAATTTTTCATAGGTTTTAGCCCCAGTCCCCTAATCATATTTTTTGTTCTTCTTTGCATTTTTCCTAGAGTTTACTTCGTCATCTCCCAGTTGGGGCTCTTTGCTATCTTCGTCCAGGTTTTTTCTATATTCTCAGCATCTGTTCTTGATGCCTTGTTGGTCAGGTAGTTCTTTGCCTTGCCTTTTTTTAAATGATGCCTTCTTTATGAGCAATAAATGATGCTTGGATCATTTTGATTTAAAAACATTTTTAATCTGTAATACATTTGTTCTTGTTCATTGATTGATGACATAGAACATAGTCAATCTGATTATGATGAAGTCCATTTGGTGCAGTCCAAGTGTATAAGTGTATTTCCTGGACCTTTTTAAATCTAGATTCAGGCCTGGCTATGGGACAGAGACAGACTTGGATGATCTCTGGTGAGAGTGAGATGGAGGTGGTGCATTCTCACCCTTTTTGACCTTTCAGTGATCTTTGATACCATTGACCATGAGTGACCTAAGTGATGCTACCTCTGTCCTCTCATGAAGTCTGGATGCTGTGGGGTCCTAGATTGGAGACAATGGACTTCAACTGAACATGGGCAAGACTGAATGGCTTTGGGTACATGTAGCCTTGGGATCCAGGGTTTTGTCATCTCTGGTTCTGGACATCTCTGGTTTTGGACTTTCCCATTCAGACCCGATTTGCTCTTGGGGGTTCTCCTGGACTCACATCTCCAGCTTGAAGAACAGTTAGCAGGCATCGCTAGGAGAGCTTTTGCACAGCTCTGGTTTTTACACCAGTTGCAACCTTTCCTAGATCTTGACACTTTGTGCTCAGTTACTCAAGTCTTAGTCTTCCCTCATCTGGACTACTGCAATGCGCTCCACATGGGACTACTCTTGAAATCCATTTGGAAGCTTCAATTGGTACAAAATGTGGCAGAAAGAGCAGTCTTTGGAATGGAATGGGACAACCTGCTGTAGCCAAGTCATACAGCCAACTCACCATGGGACAATTCATTACGGCCAATTCGCTGAAGGACAACTCCCCTTAATGGCATACTGTAGGTCCATGCTATTTGATGAATTGCATTGTCTTGCTAAGTCTAACCTATCCTACTCAGGCTGGCAGAGATCCCACCAGTGAAATAACTCTGTCTGTCAGGATCCAGAAGAAGCACCTTCTCCCACACTTTGGAACATCTTGCCCTCCAGGGTAAGTTCCGGCCCAACATCCTATTCTTTTGTTAAGAGTCTAAAGCCTGGCTTTGCAAGTTGCCCTGGGGACCCAATGGGGGAATCTGACTCTGAGGGTGGCTAATAGATACCACTTCACCTTACCCCCCCAACTCTCTGCTCCCCACTCCTTTTTATTAATCATATCAATGTATCTTTTTGGTTTTCTTTTTCCCTTGCTATTTTATTGTTTTATTTTACTTTCACTTTGTTTAAACCTTTTTTTATTTCTTTGTTTTTTATGGATGTGAACCACCTGGACTAGCCTCATGGTGAGATAGGAGGCAAATAAACTTAAGAAGAAGGAGAAGGCATAGTAGTAGTAGTAGTAGTAGTAGTAGTAGTAGTAGTAGTAGTAGTAGTAGTAGTAGGGGGCAACTGTGGTGGCCAAGTGCTAAGGTCCCTGAGACCCTCCCTCACTCTCATTATAAACTCTTTCCTTCCTTCCTTCCTTCCTTCCTTCCTTCCTTCCTTCCTTCCTTCCTTCCTTCCTTCCTTCCTTCCTTCCTTCCTTCCCCTCTTTCCTTATTTTTCCTTTCTTGATCTCTTACCATGTTTTCTCCCCACCCCTTGTTTTTCCTCTTTCCCCGTCTTTCTCTTTTCCCTCTTGTCCCTTCTTGCACGCTCAAATGCAAAAAAGAAAACATTTCTCCTTTTGTTTTGTTTTTAGTTTTGATAGTCCTCTGCCAGCCAAACGGGTCATGAGGGGGGGCTTTGCCAGCCAAAAAGGGATGTGGCCCCCATATGACCCATTTTCAGCCAAAAAGGCCTCCTATAGCAGTTTGACAGCTGATATGGGCCATGGGGCCCATTTTCACTAGCAGAGGCACCGTGGACCAGTGCTTTGCTATTTGCAAGCTGGCCGCACCGGCCAGATCTAAGCACCCCTTGAGCCTGAAGTTTGACATCCCTGGTATAAAGAATTGCCTGGATTTGATAACCTCCTTATATGTGCCATGCCATTATACTTCATTTATTTCCTGATTGTCTTTTATCTGCATGGTCTTATCAAGAGCAATCCAGTTCTTCTTAGCTTTTTGTAATCAACCAAGACAGAGGCTGTTTTTAATTCTTGGGAATAAGTTTGAGAACTCTGCAATCAAAGCATCAATCCTAAAGCTTTTCTCTTGAATTTTCTGAACAGCCAACTTACATTGTTAATAAATACAGTGACTGGAAAGATTGAAGAAGTCCTAAGAAAAATGAGGAAAAGAAAGGCAACACGGGGAATCAAAATGACAGGCATGATTCAACAACTTCTCTAAATTAAATAGAAAAGTCAGAAATCATTTGCTATTCCCTGGGAAAGTCGGAAGAGCATTAACGATCTTTTAAGGTTTGGAAGAATGTGAGCAGATAGGTATTCTACTTGGGGTCCTTATGAGGTGTAAGTCCAGCTGCTAATCTGCATCTTAATCTTTACAGTACCAGTGAACAAAGAACTGATTATTTACCCTGATCGTTAAATTCCTGATAGTAAGATGGACAATTCTGTATGACCGTTACTCCTGCAGGAGTGTCATCCCAGCATAACCAGCCATCCCATGTTCTGTTGCAGTAAGAACCTAAAAATTAAAGAGAAATATGTTCAGTTTATAATCTGTAATACATTTGTTCTTGTTCATATCAGCTTTCCAGAGAATGATCAGAGAGGATAGATTACAGCAGTAACGGCTAACCTTTTCCGGACCGAGTGCCTGAAGCGTGCATGCCTGCCCAAACCCCCAAAATGCAATGTGTGCATAGCCCCTGTGTACGCATCCACAAGCATGCGTGTGTGGACCCTACACATGCCCCCACACCCCACTCATGTACACATGCCCCCTGCACATGCCCCATCCCCATATATGGTGGCAGAGACCTGAAAACCAGCTGGCTGGTGGGAGGTGCGCGTCATGAGTGGCGGAGCTGAACTGGGGCAACGGCTCACATGCTGACAGAGAGGATGCTATGTGCCACCTCTGGCACATGTGCCATAGATTCACCATCATGGGATTATAGAAAGAAGGGAGTTATATTGTAGTCATAGAATAAGAGTAAATTTATAGCAGTAGTTATAACTACTGTAAAGAACATCAGAAGCTTCTTTTTGTATCTTTTTTCTTTCTTTTCTATTTTTCTTTTTTTCTTTTCTTCCACTTTTAGATTTTTCTGTGATTTTCTTTCTTTTTCTTTTTTCAAACTTTATATTAGTTTGTATAATTTTTTATCTTTTATGAAATTCTTTAATAAAAAATCTTTTTTAGCAAATTATTTTTTATTTAAAAAACAGGTGCATACAGTGGCTGAAGTAATATAGGATTTAAATTAGAATGAAGTGGAGTGAGTGAAGGAGAGGTGAACAGGCTTCTTAGGCAGATGCAGTTTACATACAAGGCTGTGGAACAACCACTCCCTAAGTTGTGGTTGCTCCAATAGTGGAGGTTTTTAACAAGAGATTGGACAGCCATTTGTCCGGAATGATATAGAGTAGGAGTGTCAAAGTTGTGGCCTGCAGGCTGGATGTGTCATGCACTGGCCACACACACCCCTGGTTTAGTGAAGGGGAAAAAAGTCACAATACATCATGTGACGACGTGACAATGCAAGTTTGACACCCCTGATAAAGAGTCTCCTGTTTGAACAAGGGTTGAACTAGAAGATCTCCAAAGTTCCTTCCAACTCTTTTATTCTGTTATGTATAAGAGTCTAGATTACCTAAACTGATATAAGATTTAAATTAAATTTGTTATCCTATTGTATTTGTTGAGATCTTTTGAAATAAACTGAAACCTTTTGGTGCCCATGGGAATTACTCCATGTTATAATTTTTAATTAATAAGTTACTTGGCCTAGATGCAAGGCACAAATATGTGGATTGTCATATAATAGGCTTTCTCGAGTCATTGATCTGGTTCTATTGATTGGTAGGTTGGTCTTGTTGTTTGAGTAGTGCAGTTTTCTTAATATCTGTTTTAATTCCATCAGTTGAATGTCTCTGTCAGATCAGAGGCAGTTGAAGTGCATAGTCTGGCTGTCGATGAAAGGATTTGGTGGTGGGCTTTGGGTAGAAATAGAAAATTTAGAAAGAAGCAATTCCTTAATCATGGAATCATCAAGAAAGAAGCCCCAACTCCATCCATGAAGAGGAGAATTTGTCTTGGAGAATTAATGGAGCAAAGCCTTGTGGGGGAAAAATAAGCAAAAAATAAAATAAAATAAGCTTTAGCCAAAGATTTAATGCAAAAAATACAGATTCTTGCTTTGTCTTTTATCAATCAAAATTATATTCATATTGGTAACATAACAAGAGTACTCTTTTACCTGTATTCTCATGCACAGGAACTTGTATAAATTTCTGGTAACATTCAAATTGTGCTTTCCTTATCATTTCCATTGTCTTGGATGAAAATGCTTAAATAAGAACCTGAGGGTTTAAAAAAAGATAGGACAAGATCTGCTATTAAATGTACCATTCAACTTACTCTAAAGTAAACAATAGAATAAAATAAATATCTATGAGGAATGAAATCTCTCTTTTTAATACCCCAGTTCCAACTTTGTTTCCTAACTTCTTCAGGACAGAATCTGTAAACATGAAGAGTAATATTATTAATATATTTAAATACACATATAAGATCAAACTCTGCAACACCATATTCATATCAGCAACTCATGTTCCTCTATTTTATAGCTGTGCCTCAGCTATTGTAATAAATGAGCATGGACCCCAAATCTCTTTCTTCTTGTTCCTGTGATTTAATAGACCTAAAACTGTTTACATGTGAAATATAGTTCAAGATATTTTTAAGAAAGAAATGTTTTAAGAGACTGTATATATTAGCTTATCCCTTGATCTTGAAAACCTGATGAAAACTGGTGTAGCTTCCAAGAAATAACTGTTGAAAAACAGATTAATTGTTAAATCTATCATTTGTGTCACTACAGAGATCCATCTATACATGCAGCAAATTTCTCCAAGAGCTTCAGTCCATTAAGTTCAGTATCACAGGGTGTAATCTTGATTAGCAACCACAATGTTGAAAGGGAAGAGATTATATTGACTTCATCTTTTTCTGCCACTACTAACCATGCAGATGTTTCTTTACCATGTACCCTGTGTGTGGAAGGAGATGCAATTGGCGGCAGAGTTCCCTTGGTTTTGGAGGTGAGGTGCTTCAATGCCCATTGCAAAAGCTCAGGCAGGCAGCCTCAAATGATGGCCATAGAGATGGCACAAATAAGATATGAACCAAGACAGGAAGGCTGATTAACAGGTAGGAAGCACTGAACAGAAAATCCAAGATCGACCAAAATATAGAATGGATATCATAGTTTCATAATGTAGAGTTGATAGATGGAATATTTGCACGAACTGTTTAAGCTGTTCCTGCTCTGGGCTCATGCCAGTTTGATTCTAAGCTGACTTTAGAAAATTCTGCTTGATCTGGACTGTATTGTGACATTTTGATATCAGTTTGCAAGTTATTTATTCTGGACTGTAGGATATCATTGCATAGTTTCTGTTTTAAGAAAGTAATTGCCAATCATTTTTCTTCCTATGGACAGATAATCTCATCTACTTATAGTTTTATCTTTGCGTCTTCACTCAACACACACACACACACACACACACACACACACACAGACACACACCACACACACTTTTAAGTTCTCCTATTGCTTTTCTGTTTTTTTTTTTTAAGAGCTACCTTTACCATGAGTGCTACAATTGCAAAATTGCTATGACTCTTGGCCTGTAAAGCTCTAATGGCTATTTGGGAACTAAGAATGATACTCTTTTACCCCAGATGATTAGGATCTGGCAAATTCTGAAACTGCAATCTTCTATTTACAAAACTTGAAAGTAAACAGAAGTTTAAAAGAAGGCAACATCATTCGTTCCTGCCCTCCATAAATAGATGCCAATCTGTTCTGGTAATGGGGCAACTAGGCAGTATGGATAAATCTAGAATGTGATAAATCAAGACAAGAACTAGAGGATGGACATATCAGCAGATGGCATCTGGTACAGGCAGGGAAGGGGGGCTGCAAATATTTCTAAACCAGGTCAGACCATCATGGTACTTGCTTCTACCTTGCTTCTGTATATTTGTACAAGTGACAAAAAGCATGTACCACATGTATTCAATGAATAAACATGTTACTTGTCCATCTAGATGAGACTGTCATAGTACTAAAGTAGACTGACAGAACAGGAAATAGTTTTATGAGTAACCAATTACTAATTGTATCAATAAGATAACCTTGGAAGGAAAAAGAAGGGCCCCAAAGATCTTTATCACTGGACTGGAAAAATGCTTCAAAATGGAAATCAAGGAAGGGCAGCAGATCAACAGAAGAAGTTAAATGGACCAATAGTCTGCCTAAGGCAACTTCCTATATATTGACCAAAGATAATACACTTCATTCCAATCTTTTCTTTCATCATCATTATTCAATATCTTCACAAAGTGATGGGTTACTAGGTATTCTAGTTGTGGGGTCATTAGCAGCATGATGAATTCTTAACTGCAGCCAATCTTTCTCCCTTTCTGCTATGTCGATTGGTTACCCATTATTTATTTTTATTTAGCAGCAATATCGAGACGTAATAGATGGTTACTCTTGATTAGGTTTATAAAACTAGTAAGGTCATTTTACTGAATTCCCTTTTTATCTTCTGAGATATTGTTTGGAATGAAATTCGTACAGTATTTTTAAAGTATTTAAGTACAATTCAGTATATTTGCTTTTTCAGTTGCCCCAAACAGTCAAAAGTCTTTTATTTTACAGCGAGCGGCTATATATTACATAGTTTCAAGCTGAAACCTTAGCCGAAGAACTATGTGGAGTCATGGTGGACCTTACGCTATGGTGCCCCAAACTAAAATTCTGATATCTACATCTGTAGTACCAAGAGACTTTTCCAGTACTCTGGTCAGGTTAAAAACAGGAATCTGTAAAATTGAAGTTAGAGCACGGAGATTGATGTTAAACTGCTGACAGAAGGTCCAGTTCTTCTCCTCAGAACTACCCCCATTAATAATGACCAGTGAATGCTCCTTAAACTTGAATGATGCCATAGAACAAAAACAAGTGACTTATCAGCTATCATTAGAGTTTCTACGATTCCTGGGCTATGACCTTGCCAAATGCATACTTCTTCAAAGATTTAATGACATTGAACTTCAGGCAGTAACTAACTTGTCACAGAGAAATAGGACTTGGGTGACAAAGGGCTTTTGGGAAACAGCCAATTATCTCTCTTTACTGACATTCTCCAAATTAAGAAAAACTTTCTTCTGGGCAAAGCATAATAATTGCCTTTTGCGTTACTACAGGACAGATATTCTAAAATCCCTCTGGAGAAACATGCTTGCTCATGTGTAACTGGAATTGTAACAGTCCAACACTGAATTCAATGATGAATATTCTAAAGAGTCAAATTCTAAAACATACTAAATTTTAATTAAGTATCTTTAGCTTCTTGAAATTGCAGTAATCTTTCAAAACAGTTTTACTGTTTAAAGTGCTGGGGGAATGAGGAGAGTGGGAGATATTATTTTTTAAAAAGTTACTTAATTTTCTGTATATTAATCTGCCATAAACAATAGCAATACTTGAAAATCTATTTATTATCTCATTTACTTGGCAAAGGAAGGGAGTTCCATCGGTTTTATTTGCTATCCCAACCTAATTTTCCTACTCTGAATAACTTCCCAAGCCGTCCTTCCAATGTGATTTTTCCCTCTACAGCAACTTAGCATCTCTAACAAATATTGAAATTTCAAAAGAAATATCCTTTTGATATGTTAGCATAATTATGGTAAGTATTAAAGGTAACAGTTCCCCTCGCACATATGTGCTAATTGTTCCTGACTCTAGGGGGTGGTGCTCATCTCCGTTTCAAAGCCGAGGAGACAGTGCTGTCCGAAGACTTCTCTGTGGTCATGTGGCCGGCATGACTAAATGCTGAAGGTGCATGGAACGCTGTTACCTTCCCACCCAAGGTGGTTCCTATTTTTTCTACTTGCATTTTTATGTGCTTTCGAACTGCTAGATTAGCAGAAGCTGAGGCAAGTAACGAGAGCTCACTCTGTTACATGGTGCTAGGGATTTGAACCACCGAACTGCCAACCTTTCTGATTGACAAGCTCAGTGTCTTAGCCACTGAGCCACCACACACATAAATATTGCTATAGATCAGTACTCACCGAATACTTTTCGTAAGATATTGGAAAGATCAATAATTCATCATTCACCTTACAGTTCAAGTGGAGGAATGAGAGATGAGTACTAATATTGTCTGCAATGTGATACAATGAGTCATAGAGTTGATCAGTGGTCATATGATGAAAAATATCTGATTGTCTGTAACTGACTGTTAACTTATCAGCAGTCTGAAAGAAACAGTTTTTCTATCACATATACTGTATATCAGTCCACCCCCACCCACCCCTAGTTTTAACAGTTAAGCAGCAATAATGAAGAAGTAGCCCTATCCCTTTTAACATAATTGGCTCTGGGATCTCAGAGAGAGATCAATTTCTACACTTATGTTATGTATGGATTCCCTTCTCATCTTTATGGGTGGTCTATGTCTTCCTCAATCTCAGGTCCTCTGTCGGATGCCTGGGAGTTTAAGGGGTCTGCACAATATCTTAGCTGTTCCCACTACTCCACTTTTCTGAACAGAGAACTTGAGGTTGTTCCTGGCATCTGTTGGAACCACTCTACCAGTTTAGGAATCAGAGAAACGCTCGTACCACAACTGGGACCACTTTAGCTTTTATTTTCCTTTAGCCCCTAGTACTTCTCCAGCTTCCCATATGCTTTCGATCACCACTGCTGTCTTCGGTCCTTATATTTTGTCACAATATTTGATTGACTGGCTAGTCCATGTCTGTCCATCTAGATCCGGAAGTCTCCTAGGATCTTAGTCCTCTTATTCTCCATGACCTTCTGTGGGATCTCTCATTAGGAGGGTCTAGCCCATAAGCTATGTAGATGTTCCTGTAGAACAGGGACATGCAGTCAGGGAAGGCAGGAGAGGCAGAGCCTCAGTGCTGTCATCATGAAAAGAAAAAAAAAATGTAAAAGGAAAAAGGCAAGAGCTGAGTTCAGGCTGAGCTAGTGTCAGCCTCTGCTTTGCTGCTGCTTTGGCTGTCCTTGAAACGGGGAGGGGGCGCATGGTATCTGGGAGGGGAATCATTATGTGCTGGAGGAATTTCTAGTCGCTGATCTGACCACC